TCTAACTTGCCCAACCGTGAATCCCTTTTTTACAGTGCTGCAGTGGCACAATCTCTGGTGATCTCCGTCCTTAGCTTCTGGCAAATTAAACAAAATATGGCACATCTGCATCAGAACAGCTTGTGTTTAACCAATATCCTGCACTTCATTGAACGTAGTCTAGCCTCTTGAAGAGGTTCGTAGTACAAGTTACGTCCTTGAACGTCGTTTCTCGAATATGTATGTAAATTGGAATTAATTTCGCGGCCGCATCATTGCGTTGGTTGTGAACGCATACGTGTCTGTCCGATACGTACGTGTGTATATCTTTGTCGATATACATGCAAAACATCCGCAAAAAAACCGCGCATCGTGGTGAGATTTTACAACTTTCTTCTCACACGTTTAGGTAAACTTGGATGCTAATCATGTAGCGATAATGTTTCATAAATAACTTTATCTTTACCATTTTGACGCACTTAGAAACGGATCGTATAATCGTATGTCGCTCGGAATTAAACGATCTCTTACTCTCTATTATATTCGTGTCGCCTTATATACTGCAGCCTGTGACGCGATATGTTAGTCGCCTGGAAAATTTACTAGTCGAAAGACAACGTCTATATTATTGGCAATACTACTCCCGATACCCAACACCATGGACGAGTCCAGCGGTAAACTAATTACAGTATGTTATATAATAATTAATTAAACTTGCAGCGCGTAATGTTTCTAAGATTGGCAACTCTAAGGTGCAGTAAAAGAAAAACTGAACATTTTTTTCTTTACTTCAAGGAATGACATTGAATCAGGTTATTTAAAATAAGCGATAAAGAGGTAGCGATAAGAGGTTAGTTGTATTAATTTGCATGCACGATCAAGATTAAAAATTACGTTATCTGAATTCACTAGATACAATTATTCCAGACTAGATATAAATATTAATATCGTTAACGTTAATATGGTTTAAAATGGAATTTACCGTTATGGTACCAATTATGGGTGCAGTATATGCAATGTAGTACACACGATAATTGTATTGTTTTTTAGAGCATGTCGCTTATAGAAATAGACTTTCGCAATTTTACTTTCGCGATGTAAAAATGGAATCAGCGTTTTTTTATAATTATATCGATAACAATATTATTGTTATTGGATTTATAATTATAACAATAACGATTTACTACTGACGTGCGGATGTGATGAATATCGATCGTTTCATATTAATGTCGTTACGGCTTATCTACACGTTATAATCGTTTGCATATAGCCTACTTTGTAGATAATCGAAGAATATTTATAGTCACTCAACCAATAAATTATGTAGGAACGATAAGTTCAGTTGATGAATTAAATTCCTGAATAATTTATCAACTCGGTATCACTCGATGAATTCGAATGAAATTATGTATTAGTAGTTGCCATTTATGCCGTTTATATTTTGCAATCGCAATTGAATATACTGTCATGACATTGTGAGACTTAACGCGAAATTTTTAATGTTAAAACAATCAAGATTATAAAAAATTCGGAATTGTGAAGATCATGCTAAAATAAAGTTCTTCCGTTTTAAATGAAATGCATGCACTTTTAATTTACCACTATCAGATATATGTTATTTATAGGGAGAGAGTTTAACTCTCTTTCAACTTTTTCTACGTTGAGCAACTCAGTTATGTTGAGTTCAACTTTAACTTCTCTATGTAGTTCAAACTAACTAAATTTGAGTTATACCACGCATTCTATTTCGTCTTTTATTAACTGCGAATATGCTTATTACGTCGTACATATCAAGGGATAGTAATAAAATGTCTGTAAGATATATCGGAGTATAATATATATTTCAAAAATATATCCGTTTGCTAATTTTATTCGAGAATATTATTTGTTACTCATCTAATTCTAATTTCACTGCTTGTCGCCCTTCTTGATATTCACAAGGGGTGGATGAGTAATGGAGTATACGAATAACCTACTTTCAAAAGTGGCATATTTTTTGTCAAGATTCTCTTAACATACAAACGCTTTCTGCCTTCGTATTATCAACATTATCGGCAAATGTCATCTTAATAAAATTCCAATTTGTATCAATAAAATTTGCTATGATACATCTTTCAAGGAAAAAGAGCGTATGGGAAATTTTTGTACGCAAATTGTTCCCCATTATTCTACGAAATACATTTCATATCAATCACGGTTATTAAACTCATAATTATGTAAATGGATATCTCTTTAATAATAATAATAATAATAATCTTTCTTATCTTCATGTACATAACTTTATATAACTCATTGAAAGATACTAGAGAAAAGATATATTAAATACAACGGAATCGAACTAAATAACATCGATAATTTCTGTTTCGTTTTACTGTTAAAACCTTATTAGTGGAATTACTAATTGGATACATATGTTATAATAACCATTTGATAATTATACATATAGATTAAATAATAATTTTGCATATAGTTTGACAATTGGAACGACATGTTCAATTAGGTATTACACGCTATTAAATTTTAATAGCAGTAGACTACCATTATATTTATGACAGCTGTTGTACTAACATATCACTCATATTAAGCGAAACGATCCCCAACTTCACATTCACGAATGTCACCGCCTACAAATCAAATGATTGATAGTGACGTGCGTTTTTGTCTCGCGATCTATTTTTAACAACGCCAAATCATGCAAAGTATTCTATCCTACGTTACATCGCAAACATTTTTTCATGTTACCGCCAACTAAAGTTGGGAAATAACTCGTTAATTGTGACGTTGTTATTGCTACAATTATTATTTTAAATAACAAACGGATAAAGACGTTAAATTTGTAACATTAATAGTAATGCACTTAACTTTTTTTGAGTAATAATAATAAATATAACCGTTATTCTTATTGTTACTTTGTATACCTATATATATGGAACATGCATAAATGAGTTTCAAAAGAAGAGTGTTATGTTTGATCATGTTGTAATTAATTACAATCATCCTAAGTAGAACAATAAGTCACGATAACGTCAAAATAACAATAAAATGAATCGTAAATAAGTTAAAAGTGACATTTACTGATCATTTTGATGACTTGTGTTCTGCTTGAGATCATAATCATTATAGATCTTGTTATTGAACAAGTAAATTAGTGACTAAAACAATTAAACACCTTTCTAAAAAAGAGATTATTAAAAAATTTGATGAAAAAATAATAAAAAGTGTAATGACTCATTATTCTTTTAATAATGATAACATAATACGTTGTTTTTTAAAACCAATAATGAGTAAAGGTAACGAGTTATAGAGTTAACTTTTATAGAGTAACTGTTCTGGATTGGCAGTAGCATATTTATTATGGACAACACATATAAAAAGTACAATCTTTATTTTAATATCAGTTTTATATTTTAAGAAATAATATAGTAATTATGGTATTAATACAAATTAATACAAATAAAATAATTATTTTTATCATAAAATACGTAATTTATTTTTGTACTGAGTTTCTATATGAAAAATGAAGAAAACATGTATATCTATATGAAATATAATATAATATATTTGTGTAAGTATATTTTCTAAAAATGTGTCCATTTAAGGATATTAAAATTCATTGTATTTAATCCCGTCTCATTTTGATCAATCTACTCCACATAGCCATTTTTAATAAAAGATTGTATTCACAAACTTTTTTTTTTGTCAGGATGATTAATTAATTGTAACAAAGATTTCCTAAAACATGTCATTTTCTATGAGTACAGGAATATCGCGATTAATAATGCCAAAGACTTGTCAAACAACAAAATAGGTGATGAGAAAAATTTAGTCACCAACTATATTTTTTCAAAAATCATTATAAATAATATATATAATGTTTTTGTGCAAACCATTTTACACAACAAATTAATATTATATTCAGCAATCTACAGTCAAAAAAGAGATTTTTCTGCCATATACCGATTAAGTTATATTTCGACAATCAATCTCGTACAACATCTAGCTCCGGTCTCCCCTACACTTAAAATTAAATAAATGTATTTAATATATTCTCCACGTGTCAGGAATTTACCTAAAAATAAATTATTTTTGATTTTTAAAATGATTATGAAAACATGTTAATATTGTATAAGAGTATAAGGCTGAAGGTCAAAATGATAAGTATTATATGCCTTACATCCAAGATACTGATCAATTTACGAAATTTTTCTTTTCTTTGTATTTAAGCTAAAATTACAAAATATACAAAATTTTTATAAATATTAATTTTTTTTAGAATTTTCCTGTACTTTCAGATAAACACGTTTTTTAATAACATAAAAAATCATTTTTTAGTTTTAAGCAAGTAAATGAGAAATTATATTCTCTTTTAAAAATCTAAAAAAATTCTCAAAATTACTTTAATACATGTGTGTGTAGTATTTCAAATGGTACCGTAAAGGATATTTTTGGATGGTAATGAGACCACTATTGTAAACATTTTTTCCAAAACAAATTTGTGAATTTTAGCCCAATCATTATAAAATATAGATTTTTTAAGATACTTTCCTTTACATTTAATTTTTCAACATATTAGTACTCAATTATTTGTTATAGAATTCATAAAAAAATTTGACTTTGAAAAATTAATGTTTCTATTCGAAAGTACGAAACATATCCTAAAAAATTCATGTCTATAAAAAATGTGTACACTTTGTAATTTTAGTTGCAAATATCAAAAAAGAAAAATTTGTTAAAACGACTACCTTCTATATCTTTGATGCAGGCATATAATAATTATTTTTTACCTTCAACCTGTTTTCATAATCATTTAAAAAATTTCCAATAGTTCATTTTTAAGTTCATCCCTGACACGTGAAATCCCTGATACGCCATATATATTGTATTTAAAGTTTGACAAAAGAGGGGGAGAGAGAAAGAGGGGGGGGGGAGAGAGAGAATAAAAAACAAGCTTTTTTTCTATTTTCGGTCTGTCGGATGATATGCACTATTAAAATTTAAAAAACAAACATTCCATGTTTTAGCTATGTCTCTGGAGGAATCACGGAGATCACAACGTCCGTACCGGTACGGAATGGTCTTACTATGCGTTGGAGCTCTCATCAACTGGTTGGGTTTAGCAGAGAATTATGTTGAACCAGTGCGTTACGTTGGTGTCGCCTGCATAGTAGCTGGAGCTCTGCTCATTTGCGCCGCAATGTGCTGTTGGCTACACGCACCGCCAACTAGAACGAGCACGCATACGCAACACACGAACCATCCAATTACAGCACAGGTAATTCACAGACTGTCAATCTGGCGAATTTATTTGCTCCATCAAACAAAATTGTCGTTTAGTTCGAATTGAACTTGGAAGAAAGCGATTTCAAGGAAAGAGTTAAAGCTATGAGTGTTATGACTCATAAATCAACGCAAATCCATATTACCGGTTTTCTGTTAATCATTACTCTTTTTGTAACTCTGCCTTCATTAATCATCGTTATCACACAGCTTTAAAATGCGAGCAATAATTATTATTATTAGCTCCTTATATTCTACGAATGTCACGTAATCCTAAATTGAGTAAACATCGTCAAAAGTCGATAATACGTGGTTTTACAGTTTATTACAACTATTAAGCTTACAAAAATTAAAAAAGACGTAACAATAGTAAATTGCAATTTAAACATTCCAAACTTCTTTTCTAATTAAACCCACTTTTTGAATCGTTTTTAATCTTAATAATATTTCATTATATCTTAATAATATTACATTATATATAATAATATATTATATATATTAAATATCATAAAATTATTAAAGTAATTAATCATTATATTAGTTATATCTAAGTATTATCTTTTTTTCTTACGTAACGTATCTGTGCCATTAAAAAAAGAATTAATTTAGATTAAAATTTCTAAAAAAGTTTTAAAATTTTAATATTTCTTATATATATCTTTTACATATAAATGTATTTATTCTTACCTTTATTATTTGTTATTATTTCTTATTTATTAATTATTTCTTCATTAACTACATTCATTTCATTCTTAATGCAAATAATATTTTGCAGTAAGATACACATTTTGAATATTTATACTAACATAATTTTGCCAAACATTTTAACATCGCCACTATTGCGATAATAAATGTCTATCGTACATAATAAATCTCTTTAGGCCTGATCCGAAAAGATGCAGGTCGCCGCCGCCGGTGTGGTTGAAGGCCCCTGAGATTAAAACATTTTTAGATCGATCCGGGTCAACCCCCTATTATAGACCACAAGGAACGCGTATTATCTATAGATATACCCTAGCCTAGCAGTAAGCCGCAATTACCAGCGACGGTGGACAGAATAAGAAAAAGCTTAATAATATACCCACGATCTATATCTCATACTTTTTTTCCCTCCGTCAAACGGTGCCTAGCGAGAGAGAGAGAGAGAGAGAGATATGAAAAAAAAGAAAAAGATAAAGATAAAAAGAGTACACACTTTCATATATATCAGATAATACATCATGGTATTCATAAATCATTAAAAAGTTGGGTAAACACGCCCTGCGTTCGTCGCATGCTTCCTTGCCGATAAAATATGCGCCTGGATGTTCGCGGACATTGTAAAAATTTCAAGCGACAGAAGCGCTCTGATCGCGAGACTTGTAAGACTCGTGTCATCCATCGAACGACGCGAAGTCACGATTGCATCACGTTACTATCATTTCCTCCTTTCGATTTCGAATGACGGAAATATTACTAACGATTCCACGGATGTCTTTAATTTTCCTCGAAACCGGTAATACATCCTCCTTTGTAAGAAATCAGTATTATTGTCTGTATATAAATACTATTAATGATTCATACTCTTTTGTTCTTCTGTTGCGATATCTATCCAACGTATTGTTATCAGTGCGCCTAATCAGCATTTATCTATTATTATTTGAAACAATTTTAATATATCGTAAAAGACAATTTGAAAGTATAGTCAGTCCATTAGCGTTCTTTTAGCGCGAATTTTACACGATAATAATTAAATATTATCTAATGTTGATAATAACTAATAACTATTTAATGAGGTATATAGGATTGTACCGATAATAATATTTAATATCTAATATTGACAATAATTAATATTTATCTAATAAGATGTAATTAGACCGTTTTTTGAATCTTTGTTTTTCTCTCTTTTATTATGAAATATATATTTTGGTTTTCTTTCCTCCTTACTTTTCTAGCCAGAGCTATTTTAAATCTGTAAGACATTTTGTTCTGTGAAATTATCGGCGAATATTCTCTATGTAAAATAAACGGCTTGTCCATTTTCAAATGTTTGCCTGTCCGTTCTTTATGCTTCGTTACATTGTATATGCAAAAAAGATATAGTGCATGTCGGGGTAAAGGAGGTCGTGGTAGAGTCTCTAAATGTCGATTGCTACTAGAAGGATATTCACCCGGAAACATGTACTAAGCTATATTTATCATTACTTGTCCTTGGATGTATATATCGTATAGATTTGGTTAAAATTCATAAAACTCTCCATTTACAATTATATTTTTATTTCCTCCTTTTGCAATCTGAGTCTTTTTTTATTCAACCCAAGTCTTTTTTTTACTATTCTACTAGGTTTTTAAGAAAAAAAAACGTTTTTAAGAAACGTGAAAAAATTCAGGGTTTATACTTTTCAATATCTGTATATATATTACATTATCAAATAATTTTTTAAATCAAATGATAAAATCTTTAATTAATAAAAATTAAAATTTGAAGGGAAAAATGAGAGTGAAATTTAAGAACAAAATTTCGTTTGTGCCAAAAAAAACTCAGACGGAGAGAGAGAGAGAGAGAAGATTAAATTGACAATCTAAAATAAATTTGATATCGAAACGCTGCATGACGAATCATAAAAAATGTTCGCTATCAATTACGCAACTTCAAATTAAGGCTTACGCATGTTTATTTCTTGATTGTATATTGAAGAACGTATGAGATACCGAATTATTACATTGTCTCGACTTTATTCACGGCTTTTATCATGCAACTCTATAATATCTATTCTTAATTTCTTACTAAGTCGGGTGTTTCCAAAATCGAAAAAGTCAATTCTCTGCAGCAGTATCACTCGATCCTTAGAAATCCATTTAAATTGTGCGTAATTAATTTTCTCATGAAAGCTTGATAACCTCTGAGATAACGACTTATCGCGACATTGCTTTTGAAGAAGGAAATATGAGAGAGAGAGAGATATTAGAGAAATGTTTTATTTAAACTTGATTCATTGAAAAATGTGGCGCAATAGATTGCAATTGCAATTTCTGCGTAATTTTCTGCTCTTTCAACGGTGAGTGTGAGTGACATCAAATACACTTGAGAATTCTTCATAAATTTAAAGAAATTATTGATTACTTGATGCACTTCAATTGCAAGTCAATTGATTTTTTAATAAATATGCAACGATCACAGTGGCATCAAATGTATTTGAGAATTTTTCGCATAAATTTGAAAATTATTAATTACTTGACGCAGTTTAATTGCAAATCAATTGATTGTTGGATAAAATATTTGCAACGAAATCAATTTTGTCCATCTCTTACGTGACAGACATGCTACAATGATCTCAATTATATCATCCAACATGACATTATTTTCTCACGATTCAATTATCATGACTCGATGTATTTATACGTCAAAGTGACATGTAGTATCGGCAAGAAACGTCGTCTTCATATCTGATATGTCCAAATATAAACAGCATGGAATGTTGTTTCTTCGAATTTTCGAGGTCACGTTCGCGCCTACGGTTCAGCGGTAATCGAGCACGTTTTAGTTGAATTTCGTGTAGCCAAAAGAGGGGATCTCGGGGTCGTAACCGTTCATCTCGCCGTTTCCACTTAGACTGATCATTATGCAATTTTCCAGCGAAGTTTTTTTTTACCACCGTAAATAGCCACGGCTATTCTCGTCGACCACGCGCGCGCTCGCGTCTCGTACGTCACCCTATACGTATCTCGCGTGCGCCCTTTCGCGACTTACATTCAGCCAGCCACAATGCTTTCGAAGAATACCGAGAGAGCTAGGTACGTAGATATCTATAGACTACCTACGACGAATATAGCGCGATGTGCACTTCCGGGTGAATATCCTTATAATGCGGCACGTAGAATATCGCGGGAACTACGAGGCCGGCACGTCGCGATCTGGATACTTTAAATAGACTCTGGCGACGATGTATTTCCACGATGATTAACTGTGCAACACATTTTTCCTCGAATGAATGTACGTTCGCTATCATTGGGGAATTTGAGTTGAACATCATAATTGTAAAGTTGCTTTATAAATTATAAAATTAAACTAATTTTTTGATTACTTTAAATATTACTTAATTTAAGTACTCCTTTTATAAATTTCTAAAACTACATATGGAAAAGACAATAACAATACCTACAGAAACTTTCGCATCTCAGTTACTTTATAAAATGTCCGAAATTATAGGCTAATTGTATAAATTACATATCAACACGCGCGCAGTTCTTAAATTAGAAGAAGACAGTTTTATTGATCCTCGAGTAACAATCAAAGTAATAATCAAATGAAATTTAGAGCGCAATTATTAGAACAAATCTTTCTAAAAAATTCAACAATAAACGATTAAGATTAAAATAACTAACATAAATTCTTGAAGTTAAGTAAGAAACATTCAAATACGAAAATAAGCAATGAACCTATGCAATGCGGCAAAGTTATGCAATTGAATTCTATGATACGCTAAAGTTAACTCAACCAGTTAAATCACCTCCTTTTAAAGATCGATGACCCGATCCACGTGATTTCCATCGAGGAACCGCCTGGCGTGTCGAGGCAAAAACCACCGGATTACGAAGCGGTGACGGATGCACCACCGAGCTACGATGATGCTATCAAGCTAAATCCCAGTCAATTAATCAGATTGAGCAATGGCAGCACGCCTCCGTTATCCTCAGGACAAATTATTCCGACAACTATCAGTATCGTCTCACCAACGCTAACACCGCCACCACCATACGCGAGGTAAGAATACTCGTAAATCCTTTAGGCTGCATTCACGCCTTGAAACATGGATAACCGATGTTATCTTGCAGTAAAAAAAGACATTATTATATATCTTTATTTAAAACACATTTCTTTTTTTCCAAGTCGGTAAAATTGATTAATCATTTCATGATACAAGTATCTCGTATTTTATTTTACCCGTAACTGGAATATTTAAGCTTGGTGATTTTGAGAATAATTTTAAAGAACAATATTTTTTGAAAAAAAATTTTCAACGAATACTTATATTTAACAAGATTAGGAGTGATAAATTCTACTACTAATATTTTATTTTATCTTTTACAAATAATCATATGATTAAGGCCCAGTTTTATCAATGTGAAATTAATCTCGGTTTAAGTTACTGTTTATTTTTTTCTAATTCAAAGAATTCTTAGAATTTTTGAAATTAGAAAAAGACAAAGGTTAGAATAAATTGAATTAGGATTACAGTCAATCTTACATTGATGGAAAAATACATAATTAAATTTCAAAAATTTAACAAAATAAAATTAATAACAAAAACTTCAGTGGTTCCCACTGTCTTTTATCGGGAACAAAAAATATGTGTTCCTGTTACGAGTTAATTATTCATTTTTATTTTGTAATCACGATACTGATCATACTCGATTGTGTAAAAAATTATAATAATAAAACCTTTAATTAAATACGGCAGAGTACTTCTAAATTTGTAAGAAGGGCTAGTCTTTCGAACGAATTTCTTTTTGTTCCAGGTGAGATTAGAGTGTTGAAAATAGAGACCAATGAATACGCAGATCTGCGACGTGAATGGAGAATCGACGTACACCGTTTGAATTGCGAAGAGCGATCACGTCTGTGGACTGCGAATAATACGATCATACGACAATTCCGCTGTTTACTCTTGTCGTACGAGATGCATAACGTATAGCTGTGCAAGATGTGAAGGAGAGAAAGTTGAATTATTCAAAAAACGCTCAATGTTTCGACGATCAAGAATTGAGAGAAGATCTCTTCGCGATGCCTTAGATATCAATTGCTTAGATTATTATCTATTAAACACTGCGTACCCCGATGGCACTGACATCGTTTAGTGCTTCGAATGATTAATTCTTCCTTTGTAACTACGTTACTGTATTTCCTGCTATGATCCAGAAAGAAACAGAGAATCGTTGAACAGACTCCGTTTTAATTATGGCGATATCCGAGTTATTTTTAACGCAGCCTAACTTGCAGCTAAACTTGCGGTTACTTTCAAATTATATCACGAATTCAAACTTCGCTTATTTATTTCTCGAAAATCGGATGGATGTCTCATGGAATCGCACGCATCTTAAAAAATTAAGCACACGCAAAGGTGATACGTAACCAAATACGACGTACTGATACACAATGCACAATTGCAAACATACAGGTCTATACATATCGTACTTCTTTCAATGTAATCCAATAATCGCGTCTCAATGAGAATCTATCTGCGATGAATTATGTCATAGCGACCGCGATTTCTATCAACTGCGCTATTGCTCGGTCGTTCTGTAACCGCGAGAATGAAGTAACGACTTTTGACAGTCAGATGTTTCGTTCAGCTTGCGGTCGACTGTTCATTTAATTTAACGATTCCAGTCGCGCCTGATTGACGCCGATCTGTAGAAACGATGGTCTCTTAAAGTCAATTGACGGAGCAAACAAATATTTTCTAGAATATGTATTTTTAATTCATCCCATTATGATCGCGAGTTATTTCGGAAGTGACGTGAAAAAAAATTGAAGGAATATCACGTAAAATAAGTAAATCGCATCGATTTATCCCTACATAATATAATATAATATTTAAAATTCATCGTGTTCCAATATTTGACCCACGTCACTTTCGAAATAAGCAGCTCAACTATTCACTATTAAGTCCACGTGACTTTTTATATATATGTACGATGGGAAATGTTCGCGATAGATTTTCTCACTCCGGGACACTGTCGGGATCGCGATGCGCGTTTGAATAGAGGTTCATGTCCCACGATGATTCGGAGAGGAATCACAGTAATAGAACATTTAGCGCGTTGCAAACTCAGCTGCGCGTAATTTACTGAAGAATGATCTTCTGCCATATCATCTCAGTGTCTGTCTCTTTAAATACGCACACGCGCGCACAGCACACTCATGCGAAAGCCGTTCGCACGTCCATTTTATTGTGATATATACTGTTATACATATACATACGTATAGATATAATTATGCAACACTGTCGAATGCAATGGCGATGCTTGTAAAATAAGACTTTTTTATATCGAAAATGCAAATACAAAATACGAAATTTTTCTACGGCAAGTTTCTTCCTATTGTATTCTTGTTCTCATGTGTCCTCCTTTTATATCATTGTTTCCTGTTAAATGTCATATCATGTAGAAGATCGCGTTTATTTATTTATCTTGCTTATATTATCTTCATTTAACGTAACATCAGCGTATAAAGTTATGAAATTATAAAACTCTGATGGAGCCACTACCGTTTTTAAATTAGCTTTTCTTCTTCTGTCTCGCAAATCATATAACATATCGTGCCTCTTATGAATATTATGAATAGGCATTAAAAATATTTCATATAAATACAATGTGAAAGGAGAAATAATTAGTATTCATCGATAAATACCCTTTATTCAATCGGAGTAACATTTATACTTACTTAAAGCATGTTATTGAACTTATATACCTGTAGATTTTTATTAACGGCAACAATCATAATCGTAATAGTGACGAAAACGTAACGATAATAGTGATAATAAATTGATAGTAATAATAATAATAATAATAAAATAATAATACCAATAATAACAATAGTACTCAAGACTAGTAGATGATAATGATGTACCATAATGAATATTGCAGAATATATTAATTGCAACGCACAACAGAACTGAAGTTAGGTATTCTGTTGCAAAGTCAAAAAGTGACTGTTGATCGTGGGTTACCTGTTTTTCACTCTCATTCTTATCTCCTTTTTTTACATGCCAATTGCGCTAATTCGAAATAAGAAAAGAAATATTTTACGACAGTGACGATGTAATTATAATGACAATGATAGTGACAAGAATAATTATAACGTCGAGATTATTCGTAATTGTCGGTCGACTATCGCTATCTGTAATTTGTTATTACTCTCACTACACGGTGGTTGATTAAAGTATATTTACTTCTTCTGCACGCGGCTTCTCCCATCTCATCAGCATCTCAGACAAACAATTAATTTTCCCTTCTCTTTATATACATTATCTGATACACATAGTTGTAGCGAACATAATATAATTTTAACATAATGCAGCTTTATATTGGCAAAATCACTGATTGTACGATCGACATGTCTGCTATTTTACGGTGATCCATATCTTATGATTTTATAATCTTGACATTCTCAATTCATATATGATAATAATTTGACGAGAGAAAATAAGAATATTAAAATTAAATTATCTAAACATATTTATGATATATCGAGAACGTTTTTCTTGGCAGTATAATTAATATTAAATGTAATACATACATTATTTGTATGATACATAATGATTTATAAGCGCCTCATTAACAAATTCTTCCTTTTAATTATATCTATGATATTTATATTTTAATGAATTCATAGTTGAATTATATGTTTCCACTTTGTTTTCAGGCATTGTATTGTTAAGATAATAAAAGTTTCTTGCATCTATGTCGATCGATCGACTTACACGTAGGTGTAAAAGGTCAACCAGCGGAAACAAAATTCTGGCATGTCCTATAGTAATAATAACACTCATACAACTCCATCGAGAAGCGGCGACTTTTATGACTTCGAGCCGGTCTTTCGATATTTACAAATTCCTCGCATTCCTCGTTCCAGCAGCAAAACAAACGTATAAAATAAATAGAAACGCAATATATCAACGAAAACAATAATAACCGCGCCGATACAAATGTACACGTGTCTCACGACGCGATCGTAGGTGATCACGAATATACAAGGGAGAGAATGCGACACATTCCGAAATTATATAACATACGAATGAATATTCTCCGACCGAATTGGTCGCGACGTATCATGAAGGAACGCGAAGCTCGATCCTTCTTTGTGTCCTTGATGAAACGATCGAGACTTGATTATTCGCCTCGAACGAGCATAAATTCGACAGAACATCGGACTTACGATTGACAGCTGTTAATGAAGAGGCCGTACATGACCTCGTGAGCATTATTCTTTCCTTTCCTCTCCTTCTCCTTCCCCCCTCCCTCTCTCACTGTCTCACCCTCCCTCTCACTCTCTCTTTCGTCGTTCCCACCAAAATCGCAGCTCATTATCGCCAGCGATTTTTGTCCTTATAATAATTGGTATATCTCTGTGACTATGTACAGTCTATGGACAACACGCATCACACTTTCTTTCTTATAGATTCGATAATATTATATAAATATGTTGGTATACTTCGTGACTATATTTTATCGACAGTAGTAAGAGTAATGGTAGCAATAATGACGATTGAATTAGTCGCTAAAAACGATCTGGCTGATTGTAATAGTTACAATAATAGTAATAATAATAATCATAATGATGAGATGATGATAATAATAATAATAATAGTGACTAGCTGGTAAATAGTTAGTCGATAAATTGGTTTATACGTAGCTTTTGGGTTTTCAGCAGAGAAACGTCATTGATGGACGCACCGTCCTCGTAAAGTCGCGCGCTGACCTCGCTTAAACGGTAATAACAGTTACACAGCGTTAAGTGGCAAGAATCCGATATACAGCTAAATTAATCATTTTTACACGATTTATAGAGCGACTTAACCATCAACCTGTCGAATAATATATAAACGCAATTTCTCCCATTGTGTATGTACATAAGCGGCGATAGCGGCCGCTATTGATCATGATACTTGACGCAAACATCGTTATGTACAAAAGATATATCGCTACGGGGGCCAACGTCGCCCCCTAAACAATAGTCTGTTTAGTTCGATTGCCCCGATGGAGTCGTCATACCGGTGGTTAGATGCCGTTATAGCGTTTCCTAAGCAAGCCTACGAGCCGGTCGGCACGCTCGACCGGCCACGATGACTTTCACCGACAATCGTCACCCGACGATCGCATGTGCAATGATCGCAAGGTTGACGTCGCCAAGTGACGTAGTCCGAAATTCACGCGAGCGATGTAAGTACACATGTAGATACGTGTGACGCACGGCCGGATCCTCCACAACATCCGGATGAGTCACACGCGTCACGAAGCCGGGTTTCTCCTAGGTCGATAGGCCGATCCGCGGTGCTCAGTCACGATCGGTGCAGTTCCCTTTCGTGCGTGCTCGTGTCGATTTATATGTGTTTACATTTTCATGGGAACTGGGCACCGTTCTCTCGCACCGTTCCGTTCACTCGTATCCAGTGGACGAGAGCGGAACGACTTGCGATCCGCGTCACGAATACGCCGGATCGCTTGGTCGCGCGAGTCCCAAGAGCGACGCTCAGTACCAGATCGTCGATCTTTAAGGATGGTCTCAGATGGGTGTCGGCAGGACCGTGAAGTCCTGCAGGGCGGTCTTCACCGTCTCGTAAATCGGCCGGTTGCTCTCGTCGGCGCAGTAACCGTCGGCGGTGCACAGAGTCTGCAACTTCGTCAAGTAACTATCGAAGTTCTCATGGCCTATTTTCTCCTGCGGTCCGCCCGGGGCGTTCGGTATTCGCACTTGCTCCAGCAGAGTGATCATGTTGTCGCGTAGCGACTGATAGTACTCGGTCAAATTATTGTTACGCTGAGTTATCGTTGTCGTTTCCTGCAAAAAGAAATGACAGGGTGCTTTTGTCAGTCTAGGCGCGCAAGATGTCTGTGAAAACATTATTTCGACGATAATCATACTCATTCATGCTTGATAAGAAATAATGAGAAATAATTCAACTACAATAAAAGTGCTTGCTTATACACAAAATTATTTTAGAGCTACCAGTTTCTAAAGCAATAGAACCACCACAGTGGGTGCGTTCCGAGAATATTTTATGCATGAAGCGCATGATGTATTATTTTATCGTTCTTTATTATATGATCAACAACAAGAACAAATGATGCATCATGCGCTTCATGCGTAACTCGGAACGCATCCAGAGCCATCATAGAACTAGTAAATTATTCTGCTCTCTCTCTCTCTCTCTCTCTCTCTCTCTCGCAAAATTTAAAATAAAATATTCCCAAATTCTTTTTAATGTGCGAAATAGCTTAGCAAACAAGCTGATATTATTTGTCGTTATTTTAACGACAAATAACGTTAATTTGTTTGCTAGAGGACTGATCAACCACCGATTAGTTCACTTATATAATACCAGCATACGGTTAATAAAAAAAATTAGTTAATTTAATCACTATTAATATATTATTTTATGTAATAAATTTTCTATAAAATAATATCATGAAAAAAATTGTTTAAATAACATACAATATAAAATATATTATCTTAGGATGGTATTAGAATTGAGTAATAATTTAGCTTTCAAAATGAAATTGGATTTTGCGATCGCGATAAGGCGAACGCGTTTAGTTTAGAAGCACAAAGATCTGTCTAAAAATAACAAAATTTCTATTTTTATATATGCATGAATTGTTTGTTATTTAATTATTCGGCACACGGTATACTACCGACTGAGCAAATACTGACCTTTTCTCCCTGCTTGAGCTGATTCTCCATGGCGGTGATATCCGAGCGCAAGCGCAAGACCTGCGACTCGACCCGGGCGTTCTCTCTCTGGAGCTCGGTGATTTCAGCCTCCAGTGTGTAGAGATCCTCGCTCTGGACACCGGCGGTCCCGCTACCGCTCGAGTTACCCTGACCCGTGCCTACCGCACCTCCGTGAGCCGGACCACCGGCTTCCAACCCTGGAGACAGGACAGACACGGTCCAGTTTGATCGAATGCTCGTTATACGGTCGAAAGAGAGATTATATCATATATTTCCCGATTTCCAGCGAGTCAGTTTCACCCGCAATCAAGCGTGCACGGCGCGATTCGTACGCCCTTTCGTCTTAATGCGAAATGCGGCCCTAATATGTGATATGTAACAAATGGAAAAACTACTGGAAACTGTTACAACTTGAATTTCCGACGGAAGTTCGTACGAATTTAAATACAAGCGTTTTGACGGATCTTAATTTTTTTTCTTTTCTTTTCTTTTTTTCATTCACGATCGGAAAGCGTTAGATCGAAAAATCCGAACAAGGATTTATGGGATTTTATGCGGTACAAGTGGAAATATAGCGAGCATTTAAAATTTACGTTAAGGATCGGTTCAGGCAGCGACTCAGGCGAAGCGGTTTAGTGAAACGTCGCAATTATGCAGATCTGAATAAAATAATTTTCGATGATTCTCTACTGTAATATATTATTTTTTTCTCTCACTTCGCTCGTCCCAAGTCACTGCATTATATAGCTTATCTCGAGATAATGGGACGGTACGGTTTCTTCTGCGTACGGTTCGTGCCAAAGTGATAAACGCATCTCGGCAGAAAAGCGAGAGACACTTTGAGGCTCATTCGATCAAGCGTGTGCTCCGACTCGGTAAGAGACGCACGAACCTGACAGGAGTGCCGTGGAAATGGTCGGGACAATATCGGGGTGTTTCGAGGGTAATTAGCGTGAGGTGCCATCATACCAGATAGAAGAAAAAAAAAACGGAGGACACCGAGTGCTGGCGTCGGTACGCGGCGCGACATTTTGTCGCACGTGAATGAGCAGAAAGAAGCTTACGGTTGCTTAATGTGCCAAACGTACGATTCACAGATATTGCCAACACTCGGACGTCGTCACGTAAAAGTAAAAATACTGGTGTGTGGAAATTCTGTAATGTAACATCGAAAACACATAGGAAACAAGTGGCGAATACGTCAGTCCCTTACCTTCAAAAGTAACCGTGCTCCAAGCTCAACATGAAAGGAGCTGATCCCAGAATAAATCAGAATATATTATTTTCCATCATTAAGACATACGGTTGTTTGTTTTTTTTTTCGATTTTACATTTCTGTCTTGTACATAACGAAGGAAGAGGTTCCTGCGCGGGACCGAATCGAAAGGGAGGAAAAAAAAATGAGATGTAAATTAACGCCATCATATTCAATTCTGTTGCTTCTGTTTCTTCTTTTTTTCTCTTTTATAAGCTATTTGTGGCATCCTTTCACCGTTTCGTATCTAATCAGTTGCGATATTTGTTCGCAAACCTGAAACATTTATTACTGAGAAAAAGAAAGGGGTCGAAACGGGAAAAGAAATATTTAAAAAGGAAAAATAAAAGAAAACGAATTCTTTGATGACAAGAGAAAAACGGAAGGATAGGGAAGGAGATTATTCTTATTGGTATGACAGCACATCATTGCGTGAAGAGCAGAGTATGGCATAGCATGGGATTAAGTACAAGGTTTGATATGCACAAGTTTACAAAGGAAGATACATAATTCCGTATGTTTTAGCATCGTGCTCGTCTAGGCGTCGATCAATTTATCAATATTTTTTTCATATATCAACTCTGAAGTAAAAGAAATAAATGATGATAAATCCTGAACGAGCACGATGCGCAAGCATAGAAAAGAACAGAGAGCGAACTTAAACTGTCTTATCTACTTCGTAGCATTTCCTTTCTCTCTCTCTCTCTCTCTTCTCTCTCTCTCTCTCTCTCTCTCTCTCTCTCTTTCTTCCGCGCGTTTTGATAAAAAAACGCATCTCGCGGTTTCAATTTTGACAGCTGCACGCGAGGAGAATTTTTTTACGAATACTCTTTGGACAAAATTCGATCATTATTCTTCTTCGTAACGATTGGTCTCACGCACAGCGTAACTCTGACAACATTATTCTTCGATCGTTAAGTATTGACAGCCGGAGGCGACATCACAGGCAACTCGATCCTCACCGGTGATTCCTCTGCTGTACATGCTCATATTGTCCTCCGGTTTCGGTTTCTTCACGGCATGGCTGGCTATCGGGCAGCCCGATAAAGACCTGTGACTGTGGAAGGAGCCGTTTATGTGACCGAGTCCATCGCATCCAGGTGTGGGGCAATTGACACCTTCGAACTTCATGGCTGTCGCGGCAGCCACGGCCGCCTTGTGCTGCTCGACCGTCCCGCCAGACTCCAACACTCGCATCTTATTCCTGTTTGCGATTGGGCACCCAGATGCACTGCAATAAGAAAATGAAGATGTATAATATAGGAGACGTATACACATTATGGATGAATAAAGACTCATCGATTTCAAGAACTATAATCGCAAACATCATTAAAATAGATTGTATATTATCAACTCAATCTTTCTTTAATAAATAAACAGCAATTTAACCACAGCAGATTAAAACATTTCATACTTAAGTTACGCTAATTTATTAACCCAATTTATTATCAAATTATAGAAATCGCAACGCAAATCAAATAATATCAATAATATTTTTAATAGATTACAAGTATTTAGAACTTCAACAGTTAGTTTTGTGATCTGTACAGAAGCTAATGTTACTACAAGCATTTAATCGTCGCAATTTGACAAATGAGATAATTACAGGGGACAAACCTACAGTACAACCTGATAGAGAATGATTCTTTATACAAAAATAAATTAAAAGTACCCAATAAACTGTTTTGTCCGAGGTTTTGTGTTTCTGAGAAAATCAAGTTTAAAAATCATATTAAGTATTTTTAAACTTTTAGAATAAATTGTCACTCTAAAGAGTGAAATCTCACTCTTAAAGATTGAAAATTGAGCCACTCTTTTTTAAGATTAATTCAATTTTCACTTTTTAGAGTGAGATTCCATTCCAAAGAATTTAGAGAGTACACATGCACTTAATGAAGACATGGTTTGTGAGACACTATAAACATTATCATGTTCACATAACGTCTATACGAATTTAGGAAGCAGGATTAAAGAACACATGTGACAAATAATTAAATTTTATTAATTTTATTAAGAGAAAAATTACTGAAAATGTCCCGGCTGCTATAAGCAAAATTGTACTCGTTAAATTATGGACTTATGGACTCTGATCAATGTCTCCCTACTAGGGTTACCAATTCTCGACCGCACGAAAAGAGTTGATTGGCAAAAGGAGTATACTTTCTAAAAAAAAAAAGAAAAAAGAACAAAGATGAAGATGAAGGGGTTTTCTGTTTTAAATGGCGGTATTCAAAAATAACATTTCTAGAATGTAATTTTTATTAACAACCTTTATTCAGTCTTCATAAAGTTATATATAGATATATTTATTCACATTTTACTTAAATATTTTACTTAAAACCAGATTTTTTTAATATTAACATTAATACAATTGAGAGAAAATAAAATTGATTCATGTATTTAACGTATCTTGCAACTGATAAATTTTTTTCAACCAATATATGTATATAACCAAATCTTTAATAAAACCTCTATATGATAAATTATACATATATTACATACTGCCCAAAGCAAACACAGCCTTAGTACAAGCCAAGCATAACTTTTTCATAAAATAATAAATTTAAATATTAAATAATAATTTTTTAAATTTTATCCCATTTAAAAAAATATGAAAAAGCCAGGGTAAAAGTTTCGGAGCCCCCCCCCCCCCCCTATAATTACATAAAATTTTTGCACACGTTCGATATCCAAGACTAAAAAAATTTTCAAGGCGGTTACACGATTCTTTCAATATTATTATACGAACGATATAATTGAAAAAATTTCAGACAAGAGTCTTACGTAAGAATATATGCGACCCCCTCCTCCCCTATGTAAGCATTCGTAAGAATTTGTCTGATTTCTCTCCTCCCCCAATTATGCTTACGTAATATATGGATGGACGGCCCCCTATGAGTTTTCTTACTTCTTCAAAAGTTGCAATAATTTTTTGTGCTAATATCTGAAGATTTTCTAAAAATTAAACTTGATTTTCTCGAAAAATAAGTTTCGGACGGAAAAAGTTTATTTTGCACTTTCGATTTATTTTGCAAGGAATTACCCTTCGATTATATTATAAGTTTGTCCCCCCATTGTATAAACATAGAAAAAAAAACAGAAAACAGCATACGATTATCCTAAAGCAAGATCTATGTTGCCTGAAAGTTCCTTACGAGCCTTACCTGCGGTGCGACAAGAATTTGCCGGTGGCATGGCCGGACCCGTCGCAACCCGGGATTGGACATCTGTAGTCCAAAATGCCAACGCCACCGTCACCAACACCACATAATCCATCCGCACAGAGCGAGCGTGAAACGAGCGGAAACCGCCAGTTATTAGTCAGCGTCTTCGCTTTTGCGCGGGGTGTAACTCGGGCAAAGGGAGTTAGGATGCGGTTACGGGAAAGGGGGACGGGATTTCCCCTTTCTCGGGTCTCATCCGGCAGCCTCGCGGTACGTGCAATGCGGTCGAGAAGATACCTGCGTTAGCTGCTACGTGCAACGTGCGAACGCGACGAAAACGCAAATTGAGATCGCGATTACCGCCGCACCCTCAAATTGCGGAACTTGCGAGATGTAATCTCGTCGTGAAACCAAATCCTACAAACTCGTGATAGCCCCCCCCCCACTCTTTTCGGACCTCCTTTGCGTTGTATTAACTTAAATCTATTACTTTTTTCAATACTGGATGCAAACTGAATAATTAAAAAAAAATAATTTTTTTTTCAAATCAAAATAGTTTGTGTTTAAATTTCATTTTGTTAAATAAATTATATTTAAATATCATTACAAACAATAATATGTGTATGTTATGTTTAACGTTAAATACATTAAATACATCTTGCATAATTAATCTTTCGAAAAATTTAGTCGATAATATAGTTCTTTCGTTAGTATACAGTCAACGATTGGTACTGTTCATTAAAAGTAAGCACTATTAGTTACGGACATTCTGTACAATTAAACTTTCAAAGGACAGAAAAGCCATAGCACTATAGCGAAACGCCCTAAAACAGTGTCATTTTGAGGCAAACACAAATTAAATAATAAGTTATAACAAATTTTACTTTTAAGATTTTTAAAAATAAACTGCCACCCTTTAAAATTTAACGCCCTTGAATGAATGAGGACTAGGAAACAGTGCCAACCCGTGTTAGTAATCGCGTGTACAGAAAGTGCAGTCAGAATATAGAGCGCATAATTAATAGTATTCGCGCCAACTGACCTCAGGGGCTCAGAATCTTGACCATCTCGCGGTTTACTCTTTGGCTTGTTGGCCCGTGGACAACCGGACAAACTTCTGTGTGACGAGTAATTTCCCGTGACATGTCCAGAACCATCGCATCCTGGCGTAGGACACTTGAGCTCCTGGGAATGCGCCTGGATTTGCGAACGATCAGCTCGTGGACATCCGGAAAGGCTGCAAAGGAAAGAAGACTCTCTTCTATTTCAAGGCGTTGCGAAAACGCTATGAAGACCGCGCGCTGCGTGTTCTAGGAAGATACAAGAAATTGTGAAAAACTTTGAAAAATTTATCATCATGCTACGATGCTTGATAAAATTGCGCAACGCGGTAATCTTCATGGCTTTCGTCACACGAACGCACACCTCAGAAACGTCCAACCATCGCTTCAGCAACACATCGCATGCAATTTACGCGACGTTGCCACGATGTCGTGAGTACTCACATGATCTAAGGCTGTTCTATTTAAAGGACGATCAACATCTCAAAAATTAGATCTCGATGAGTATCCGAACATCTCGTTCGCTGAAACGATCGAAATCATCTACGTATCGCACGACGGGTGACACAACACGTCACCGAAGTTAAAATATTATTATTCATTAATTAATCGCCGCTAAGATCTAAATGTATTATGTATTCATCGAAGAGCAAGAGACGTTGGCTCACCGAGATCGGTGCGTATCGGCACTGGCTTCAATACGATTTAGTTTCGGACGACTTGCCTTGCGTCCAGTTCGAACGAAGACATTGAGGGAAAGGGAGACCTAAGACTCGCATCTCTTGCTCGAGCACCGATCGTGCACGCCAACGATCGTAGCCCGAGTCTTACGCTCCAGGGACACCCTCAAATGTCGTGCGGATTATGATCGATGCGGGCGGACAACGGATCGTATTTGGTAGCATGCAAATGGCAACGCCGTGTTCCAGTTGGATCACTTATGAGGTGTCGCTCGTAAGATCAATCGCGCTTCATAGTCGCGTTGATCCGTCATCGGTCTTACTCTAAGAACATCGAAAGGGAGAGCAGGGAGCACACTCACACCTGACCCCAATGAAACTCGCCAATTGCCAATTTGACTTTGCACACGAGGTGCATCGCGAAGCGATATTTTCACCGCTTCGTGGGTTTTCTTGATCGTTACGTTTCTGCTATGACATGGTCATCGACAACAGTTCGCTACAAAGCTGCCCACTCGAGGCTGGCGAAAGCGGCTTTCAACGGACGGGTAGTCAGTAAATTAATTACTACGTATGCGTACGAAAACGAATGAGTCTCGCGATCGAAAGCGAGTCCTGTGCAATGCCGATTCTTCCGCAACGCCGAACTTTGATTTTGCCATCCCTTTTCGTAGGGGTCGGGTAAAAACAGCGAGGAAAAAAAAAGAAAAAAAATTCATTCAATTACGAGGCTCATCTACACACCTTTGGTATCGCATAATATGACGTAGAGTATGAAACAAAAAAAAAGGAAAGAGGAGAAGAGAGAAAGAGCGAGTAAACTGTATAACAAAAATAAAAACTATATATTGTGTATATATATTATATATGTATACTTATGCAAGGTAGCTCTAGTACCACTGGATATTCACACGTATGTCATATATAGATATATATGGCAACATAATATTGACCAAGTGTACAACTCAACCGCTTAACTAAGAGAAAATAAAGTTTCTAGACGTATGTTTCGTATCGCAACACACTTAAAAAGCAACTACACCACGGACCACCAATATGCATTGATGCAAAAACCATCCATATATATGTAATTCGCAATTTACATAATGTTATTTGTTATATATATATATATGTGTGTGTGTGTATGTGTTTCAGGATATATACTGTCATCTACCATTTTTGAATGAAAATATCTATTGAGGCATTATTGAGGGACTAAAGAGGACAAATTTAAATGTATGTATGTATGTATGTAGCGTGCTTGCGTGCGTGCTGCATCGCCATATCGATATATACATAATCGAGCGTTCACGTCAAAGGCTTGGTGTAAATGTCGATGCTGCCTTGCCTTCTGTGGGTAGCGTAGTTCCCTGAGACATGACCCATGCCATCACAGGACGACGTGGGGCACTGTATCAGCTCCTTGCCATCGCGACCACGAGGGGTGGGCCGAGGTGGGAAATTCAACGAGTATCTCCTCACACTCATACTGCACCGAATAATATTAACCATCAAATCGAGAATCCCTAGTTTGCTTATGGAATTATCAATAGGTACCTATACAGCTCTCCAACGGACGTCCTATAGACATCCTATAAATATCTAAAAGACATCCTAAGAATGTTCTCAGGACGTCCTTTGGATAAAGTGTGCTGTGTGGATAACTCTTTAATTGTCACTATTCGAGTGTAGGGACTAAAATGATATTTCCCTTAAATTATTCGCTTCTTTTCGTGATACTGCTCATTTAGGCTGCAGTTCTATTCACTCAAATAATGCTCATTTAATTTTGTTTGGATAAACAGCATTATTTGGTCTTGTTTAACGTTTTATAAACAAAGCGTTGTGAGCATGAATTGAACCGAGCCTTAAGGGTATAACGACTAAAATTGTAGGTGGCTTTTATTTGCAAAAAGCACTTGAGCAGACTGCGTAATTTAATGCACTCTACACCTAACATGAGCGACAATCGTAAATCGCCTTTCCAGACGCGAATGCGAATGTATATAGTTTACAGTTATAGGGTCTCGCAAAGTTATATTACGTTTTGTAACTTTTCTGTGAAGCGCAATGTGCGACGTGATAGCGTGATATGAAAAAACGTCGAAAAGCAGGAAAAAGGGTCGAGAGGAGACGAAGGAGAAGGCAGAGAAGCGGGCCGAAAGAACATATGCGCCGGCCACAGCAAATCAGAGGGTGAGCATCTCGCTCTTGCTTCCGATCTCATCGTAGCTTCGTAGATAGGCAAGTCGTCGTCGACAATGAGAAAGCCTCGATGGCCCTTGAGTGGCCGCGATATTGCCGAGCAACCGAAAGCCGATGGATGCCGACTTAAGTGCAATTCAAGCACGCTGTCGGACTATCTATCTATCTTCGCGTTTTTACAGTCTCTGCTGATGTGGGTCCTGAACACTATACTGTCTTAGATGTTATTAGCATCAAGTTATTGAATTTTATTGTAATTTTTATTAAAAACTTTGTCTATATATTAATTTTTTAATGAAATAGTTCATATGCATATTTACGTTGCTTTTACATATTTTTATGAATGCCCAATGTTATGGCGTACGATTATTGATAAGCAAATATGAAAATGATTATGTTATAATAAAACGAATCTTTCGGGAAATTTAATCATTCTTAATTTTTGGGGTAAACAGATTTTGGGAACTTTCAAACTTAAGCAAGAATTTCAAAAAACTTTATCCCAGAAAAAATTAAGATTTATTTATTTTTATATCGAGATGTTATGTATTTGATATTTTCACAAATTTAGATGGTTGATCTGAATTGGGATGTGCATTAATAAAAACGTTTCCAAGAAATGAGACTAATAATATAGTTAGGTAGCGAAGGTAGTTATATTGCCTGCTGCTATTAATAAAGTTGAAGTTCTAATATAGATTGGTTTGACCGAGGTTTTAGTTGGTCGTACATGTTCGACGTTATAGCGATTCAATAAAGATACAATTAATGAGAAGGAGGAGGAGTAAAACGTGGAAAGATTAATATCGTGAGGAAATCATTGAACATAATCTTCATTTCATAAACTTCTCAAGTTAAATTTGTACAATAAAGGACATAATTTACTAAATGTGCTCACTATTATCATTAATTAAACATTTAATAAATATTACAAGTATATAATAAAATAGATTAAGACTGTAATTTTTAAAATAAGATTATTAAATGTTTTTAATTTCTAAAATGAAAATTACAAAATATGAAATACAATACTGACAATTAAAAATTAATCATTTAGTTTCCCTCTTTTTAAAATTCAAACTATTTCAAACTTTATTATTTACAGTTTTACGTTGAGTAAAGATTTGCCGATACAATATTTATCTTTATGCAATATACACAGTACATTCACGATTACATTTTCGCGCAAATGTAAATACTGTATATTGTCTATATTGTCATCTCAAACTTCTGATAAAATATCGATCCGATTTTCACATTTTCATTCATCGTGGAGACATTCGTGAGATTCGTGGAACGCGACGCACCGAATTTTGGACCGTGGTAAAATTACAAAAGGGACGAAAGGCAACTTTGCCTCGAGGTAGCCGAGGAGGTGTGTTCTGGGTTTCTAACCCACGCCACTGCGCGGGCGGGGAGGATGACGCCGGGTCTCGGCCCATAATCCAGTGCGGTGGCAACTGATTATACCCCACCTACCCATTTTAACCTTATCCTACCTCGCCTCCACACCCTCTCAACCCCTTTCCCCTGCACGCGCGCCTTCCACTCGAGCCTCATCCTCATTCTCTTCTTATACGCCCAACCGTGCCTTCTCCATACCGCCGAGCTTCACGTCAATTAGAATAAGGTTGGCACTTTCGGTACGAAGAGTAATTACTTTAATTAACAAAATGGAGGTGGGTATGCGCGAGTTTTGCCCCCTTTTCCTCTCGCCCTCCGTCGCTGATGTTAGTCGCTGCCGCTGCCGCCGCCGTCGTCGTCGCCACCGCCACTGTCTCCACGCCTTTTCAAGCTTCGGCCACGAATCTATCGCGTGAAGGATTCGTGCGATCCTTTCCGCAAGGCAAGTAAGTACCAAGGCGAGAACTCGCGATGCTCGCCTGCACGACGTGTGGACGTATTCTCTAATAGTGCTACCTCACGCTAAACAACGATTTGGATTCTCATCGCGTATCCAGCGTCACAAATGGATGACTATTTGGTTTTAAGTTTCATCAAAATAATATGTTGAATACAGTGGAAGAACAAATTTCATTAAAGAAAAAAACATGAAATGCTAAATACGCAATGAAAATATCGGCCAATCCGATAGATTTAATGAATGTATTCTTAATCAAACAAACTTAAAATCTTTAAATAAAATTTTTTACTCTTTCAAATGTTTAATTTAAAATAACGATTTGTATTTTACCGACAAACGTAAACTCACATTTACAGTACATAAATAAAAATTTGCTGTGAACCGGATTGCTCACAATCGCGATATTCCATTCAAAAGGAATAAAAGAGATATCCTACCTGTCGTCCTTGCCAGATGGTTTATCGAGGGGTCCGACCGTATGCTGTGGGGGCGGCATACTGTAGCATGGTGCTGGAGTATAACCCGCTGGAATCTGATAACCGGAAGTCACTGGACCACCTGGATAAGTTCCACCGCAGTTATAACCTGCAGTTGGGTAAGGGGTGTACGTGTTTCCGGGATATTCGGGTTGAACGCCAGTCATCCCGTATCCTGGATGAGGACTCATGGGTCCATAACCTGACATATGAGAGGTTGTATAAATAAAAAATGTAACAATCAACAGTTCCCTAAAAGTAAAAATATGTTGATCCAGCGCGAAACAGAAAGCATCTTACTTGGAAAATACGCGATATTATATTCAATAAAAAATCTTAATAACATGCCTTTCAATTTCTTCGATATTGGTACTTTGATAATTAAATATTAAGATAAATTTGAAGTATTGACAATTTGAAACGTATTGAGGGAAAAGATCTTGTTATTTCCTTTTATCCATTTCTGTTTTCAACATTTACTTTGTTAGAAAATCCATTAATTCTCTATAGATACGAATAATGATCCACAAATTGATATATCTACTGTTGATATCGAGCGAGTTAGTATGATCTTTAATTTGATTTTTATGACATATGGAAGTGTATGATTTCTAGGACACTCTGCCTAAATACGTACATACATGCCATGTAATCGTACTCGAACGGGAGACGCGGAAGTAGCGCGAATACAGGCCCACTACAGGAGCAGCCCGCTGCTTGATTAACTGTTGTAAAATCTACACGTTTATTTACTGGCAAGAATTCATTTTGTCGAGAGAGCACGCAATGCAAATAGCCGACGGACGGAAGGCCGACTGTGCGCGCTCGCGCGACGTCGCGTGAACACGGCGGTGCCCTGTATGCGTTGAGGCCGGGGAACACGGCGCTGTGTGTGCTCGAATGTTTCAATTTCAATAACTACTCCCCAGCGTCAGAGTCCGCACAATATCGGCCGCGCCGGACTTTTGCCGGCGCTACGTGTACGCGAAATATTGATAATTAACAATGGCCGTGTACCGTCACAGGGGGGTGGTTCGACGGGAAGGGTGCGCACGGTGCACATTCAGGCCGAAGGACGAAGGGAGAGAGAAAGAAAGAGAGATGGAAACGGAGAAAACGAGGGAAACGATCAGAGAGAGAGAGAGAGAGAGAGAGAGAGAGAACGAGCGAGCGCGGGAGAGAAAGAGGGAGAGAGGGGGGGAGAGAGAGAGAAAGAGAGAAAGAAAGAGAGAAAGAGAGAGAAGGAAGGGATGAGAAGGGGGAGAATCGGCCGCGGGTTTGGAATGCCAAGGTACAGAGAGACCGAGGAAAATGAGAGTTCGGCCATAGGTGCCTATTATGGCAGTCATGTACTGTTCTGGTGAATTTTTATTCGACGGTTGTAACCGCGTATCGTCCCCCATCCCT